ACATTTTGCAACGATATAAAATAATAACACAGCAGAGATTTGCTGTTTAGTATGCATTTCTTTATGTGGGTGTATTGTATGTATCTGTAAAGTTGCCAAGTGCCATATTTTCCAGAAAATGTCTTGGTGATAAATCATGGTTTAATCTAATAGGGGAATTCTGCCTGTCTCAGACACACACACTCATAAAGATCTCTGATGATGACCAAGCAATACAAGCCTTGACTGTAAAATAAATCACACCCATGAATGTCCAACACATAAAGGTCCCACCTGTGCTTTCTGTTTAGGTGTACCTTTGTGTGAGAAAAGCAGACACTAAAGTTTACGTGATGTAACAGTTCCCCTTCTTCACTGTCACTATATATGTATATCACTATCAGACTTTGGTCAAATTCAACAGAAGCACAATACATCATTGATTGACAGTGTGACATGTGCTGTTATATTAGCTACAAAGATTTATGTTTGTTCACAGCACATAGACAAACTGGTCATAGTAAGGTAAACGCATAAACTAACAGAAGGAAATGCAAACTGGATTGACTGGATCTAGATGAAACTGCAGTGAAGTGTGCTAATGAAGTGTGTATGTGGTATCAAGCTACCGGCTGCAATGCAGAATCATTTTAAACCCATCCTCTACATGTGCCGATGATGGTAATACGATGTATCGTTTGTTTTCACCCGACTGAACATGTTCAATCAGCATTTGTTGGTCTCTGTTGGGACAGTGTGAACTGAATGACAGTTATTTTATTTTTCATAAAATTCTAAATCCAACGGCCAACTTGTTTGTTGGCGTCTTGTAACTTAGGCCTAATTCAAAACAGTGTACCGTGATAAAAGCTTCAGCAAGGGGAGTTATGTGCAACAAACATCCGTTTTCTGTACAACAAGTCGCATTTCTTCTGGTTCAGGTCTTTTGCATGTGCTTCGTTAAATATAGAGCCGTTTTCTTCTAGATGCCTTCAAAAGAGCGAACAAAGATGAGCATAACCGACGTCCATCGCATATGCAGATTGATTTCTACGTATTTTTCTTCGTATCACTAACGTTTAGATATTGAAATTGAATAAAACACAAACAATAAAAATAACTGACAAGGTTAGCTGATTGCCTTAAAAATCTATAGATATCTAATATCATCACCGTCATTTCGTAGTGCCGTTAAAACTTTCTCCGACAAGCGGATGCAATGAGACCTGTTTTCCTGTTTGCTCATGTGACGTTCGGCATAAAGCCTATTACCGTGATATGAAAATGTAATACCGTCACATGCCAACCAATCAGCGTTGGAAGAACGTGCCTGTGGCAACATTTCTGCAAATTACATTATGTTGCTTCTTGCATGTTTTGCAAGAATAAGTGAAATGTCCAGTGAGTGGTGTTAAAAGTGTTTTTGATTTTATTTAAAATCAGATAAATGTGAATGTTTTAATATGTTGGTTGTTGTGCATATCACAGCAATTCGTAAATTAAATATATGGTCATTGGTTCTAAAAGTTTAATCGCATATAGGCTCTATCGAGTTTGGGGATACCACCTATATTAAACCATAATCTAATAGTGCACAAAAAAGTGAGATAAAAACGCATTTGATGAAGCAACCATGCCATTTTGTTATAAAAGTTGTTAATGTTTTACTGCCACTAGTGTCCATTACAGCTGGAAAGAAACTGCAGTGAATTCTACGTTTTTGGAGTTTTGCAAAAATGTAGGCCTCTGTTGATAATTTCAATAACAAAATGCAAAATGTTTTTTGGACAATTATGGTAATGCCATGTTTTGGACATGATATGACTGTATTACCATGTTTTTGTACAAATAACCATGATAATACAAAAGCTTTTGGACATGGTACAGTTATTCAATTAAAATGACTACCATGTTTTTGGATAAGGTGTTTTTCAACAGGTAGCATCGAAGTACCATGTTTTATGGATTTGTACAATGTTCTGACCAAGGTTTTCTTGAAGTGTAGCACGGTAATACCATGTTTTATGGACCATAGTGCAACTAGAGTTTCTTCGAACGAGTACCATAGAAATACCAGATTTTTTTAAATGTTCTGCACCGAGGCTGCAATTATTTGATCATAAATATAGTAATAATAATTTTTACAATTTAAAATAACTGTTTTCTATTTTAAAATGTAAGTTATTGCTGTGAAGGCAAAGCGCAATTTTCGGCAGCTTTTACACCAGTCTTCAGTGTCACATGATCCTTCGGAAATCATTTGATGAATCACCTTGAAAAGCTTCAAAAGAATTACATTAATTTTGCTTTTGTAACATTATAATTGTCTTTACGGTCACTTTTGATCAATTGAATGCATCCTTGCGTACTATAACTGTAATATGGTACCAAAGTACTTATGTTTGCTTCATGTGTAAAACTGTTTGGATAGACATCAGCAAAACAATAGACGGTTTTCAATTTAGCACTGCGTTTTGGAAAGAACGGATATATTTGATACCCTTGACATACTTGCTTGACAGGTTTGACATATACTTGAGTGAAATACCTTGAGCATAACATCACACGAGAAGTCAGCTGGTGTGTTGAGCTTTCATGTTACAATCGTACTGTTAAAACTTCCATAGTTGAAAAATGTACAATTTTTTTATATAAATGTCATATTATCTGTAACCGTAATTTTAATTGAAACTGATTGTTTTCAGAAAACAATAGGTGCAGGGAGATGCACTTGACTGTAGGGTTAGAGCTTTAAACCTTGTGTGTATTCAACACATTGATGATAAAAACAAACACATGCATGCATCAAATCACACAGTTCCTAACTCCGAGCCCATGAGCGTCTGTGTGGAAACAGAAAACATTGGGGTAGCTGCCAATAGTTGCACCAAAACATGGAATTAGGTCATTAGTTATTATTATTATTATTTCAAAATTTGTCTCACAGCTCTTTTCCATACAATAACAATTCATAGTAGATTATGTTTTATGAATGCTATGAATTCAGACATCGGCCTACTCTACTACTATATAAGAAGAAAGTATTTGGATGTTTATGGAAAAGAGCAGCATGAAAAATGTTCAGAAAATGTCTTTTTTTGTTCCAAAAAAGAACAGCTTACAAGTTTAACATGCCATGAGGATTAGTGATTAATGACAGAATTTTCTACAATTTCTTTTAAACCTGAAAGCTTAAAAACAAAAGAAAAACATATAATGAGGGTCTGCGATATGTGTCACCAGCCTGCATTATTTCAACTTATTTTATAAATAATCTTATTTAACAGTGGGAATCCAGGTGAGAAACTACATTACCCATGATTCTGAAAATGAAATCTACTAGCCTACACCAATCAGAAAATAAGGGCTGTGTCTGAAATCATGCATTATTTGAGGGGACAACAATTTGTAGTGGTGTCCGAAACCATAGTGGACATTATCGACGAGTACACACTCATTCAATCCCATAATGCACCTCAAGAAGTACTGGGCTAAATCCGAAATCGCCCCCCAAACCCTCATTCACCATTCCCTACATTAGTCCACCAATACTGTTCACTTGAAGGAGTGAATAACAATAAAAACGAGTGAGCGAATTCGGACAGCCGTTGAGCGAAAATCGGTTGTATGCTCGTTGTTGCAGTGCAATGTGGGATTGAATAAGTGCACTCAATGACGTCCACTATGGTTTCGGACACCACTACAAATGGCTGTCCCTTCAAATAACGCCCTATTTGAGGGTATAGAGGGCGATTTTGGATTCAGCCCTGGAGTACAATCGACGGCTAGCCAATAGACTAGACCCATGGCACTCTGAGCGCCATGCACAGCGAATGAATTCTAGCGACTCTAGCGTCCAAAGCACTTCCGGAGCACTCAGTGTCTTTACTCATAGTGGACTATACTAGTGGAGTAAATTATGTAGGGAATATTGAATGAGGAGGGTATAGGGGGCGATTTCAGATACAGCCAAGCAAATCGGACCAAAAACACACTTTCTAGCTTCCCGCTCACTCCCATTAAGCACTGTAATTGATATTAAATATTTTAAATCTCAATATTTCTATAATCCTTCCATATCTGTATGCATATTTTGCAATAAATGTAAAATATATTATTTTGATATTAAACTTCTTTAAAATCAACAGATTTTTTTGTCCATTTTTTTTTTCATTTGCAATGCCTCATGTGACTGTAGTTCTTTCCGTTTAATACACATTATTGTACCTTATCTTTTGTCCGATATTCAAATAATTTTTCAAATCAAAGTTTGCAATATTGTGATTCACCTCATAGCTGGCTTGTTTGGTTCATGGCTTATAAAATAACAACGATTTTTTAAAATCCCAATGGGAAAAATTAATGAGAAAAATACTTCCAGAACCAAGGGCGCTGAAAAAGTGGGCGGGCATTGTTGAACTCTATGATCAAAACAGTGATTGACAGCTGTCACAGCACTACACCTAAATAAGTATTATGGTACTACCATAGTCATATATCATGCATTTCAGTACCAGTAACATGGTAATCCCACCTGATACTATTAGTCACTGAATCACTGTACAATGGTAACGTTATTATCAAAGACCAGAACGTTCCCTTTATGACACTTATGGGCATCACATTCGCGCTTCTGGGTTCCATTCATAACTATAATATCTAAAAATGCTGTCTAGTTGCAGTGCGCTAGGTTTTGAAAGACATCCAGCCAATACACACAGAGCCTTGTAACGTTACAGCCATAACGTTAACGCTTGAATGCTCAGACATAATTAATCTAACGTTACCGTTTTGAGAGAAAAGAAAAGTGGTTTTACATGTAAAGGACATAACATGTTCCGTTCGCTAAATAATATTTAACCTGCTGTCTGAAATACAAGCGACAGGTTTTGCATAAAGTGAGCTAGTGAACTGCCAAAGTCAATGTGTAACTACTCTGATTAGAACACACGTTCAATAACACACGTTCAAATTTTAATATTCTGAAATATATCTCGTTAGGATGTTAGAGGATAACTTACACACTTATACGCAGCTGTGAAACTCCTGTGCAGCAGTGTTATTCGGTCTGCCTTCTGCTGGACTTTCAGCCCATCTCCCACAAACTTCCGACGGTCTGCCTATCCCGCAACTGACGGGTGGAGAGCGGAATTGCAAATCCTACTATGACCAAGGTTTAGCTCATGAATGTTAAGTAGTTCATCCTGACGTCTCTAGGTAACCTTCCTACACCCTCCAATCATGTTTCTTTATTAATAATCATGAGCCAAGCCTTCGACTGCAGTTGGATTCGACTGACTAACGCCCACGTTCCTATGTCTTCATTCGTCCAATCTAGTAGGCCCATGTCAGAAAATAAAATTAATATTCATGAGCCGAACCTTCACTATAGTAGGATTCACAAATTCGCGAACGAAGGCGGAAAAGGCCCCTTCTTTTCCGGATATAGAGAAAAGGACTACGGGAATTGTAGTTATACCTTTTTTTTTTTACAGTCTATGAGTTATACATATATAATGCCTGCTGTGTTGTTTACTTATAGCCTGCTAACAGAGAATGTCTAATATGGGCTTTGTTGCTAATCACATTTTACTGTCTATGCTAATCACAGCAGCGCCATCTTTGATTTTTAATGGGTATGAAAGCAAGGCTGACAGACATGCATCTCTTCAATGGGCTGTAGCCTGTTATTTAATGTGTTTTTGGATTGTTCTGCTCATGAAACACTGGGAAAATATATTTCCAAGAAATTTCAGTTGACAAAAAACTCCCGACAATATGAACTGTGGAAAATTGTAAGTATAGGAGCTTTATACAGCTTTTACAGCGGATATAAACATGGCAAGTCTATCCATCACAGCCACTGCTCTGAATAAGGTCTAATGATGCTTAATAATTATTTTATTTCAACAGAATGTTAAATAAATGCTGTTCATTGAACTTTCTATTCAAGTAAGAATACTGATGAACAATGTATCGCGGTTTAAACAAAAAATATTAAGCAGGAATAACTGTTGTCAACGTTGATGATAATAATGAGAAAGGACCATTATTAATAAAAGAGAACCAGTAATAACTCCCGTCTCCCGACAATAATGAAAAGAACTGATCACCACATCAGCAAATTCTATGATTTCTGAAGGATTGTATGAAAACATAAAAATTTTTAATTAAATTAAATTAAAGAACACTTTATTAGCATTTTGGGGCATCTTAAAGGCCCGTTCACACCAAGCACGATAACTATAAAGATAACGATAAAGATAACTATATATGCGTCCACACCAACGACTGATAACGTCTTTTTATTCTAGGCACGGGCGCGCCCGCGCTGCGGTTTCAAAGTAGACCTTTAAATTAGAATGGATTCTGATTGGCTGTCAGTGTTTTATCGTTCGACAGCTGAAAAAAAATCGTTCTGAAAGTGATCCCAACGATATCGTTCCTCATATCTTTATCGTTATAGTTGTGGTGTGAACTCTGTTATTCTTTTATATGGAGAACGATTTTTAGAATTACATCTTTATCGTTATCTTTATAGTTATCGTGCTTGGTGTGAACGGGCCTTAAGTGTGTATAAATGCTCGATTCATGCATGCCTTCTGATGCCATATGACTTAAAAGAAGGAAATAGTGCTGCATTGCCCAGTTACAACTGTGGGAAATCCCCATTGTATTGTTCAGATGCATGTAGATTTGAGTAAAGGTTATTTAGGGGTTATGGTGACCTGCATTCAGATGTGTTGAGACACACACACACATACACACACAGTCTTAATATTCTCTAAACTGTAAGTTCAATATTCACAACTGTTTGCTTGAACATCAGAACTATATTGCATGTTTGCAAAATGTAGTTATTCAACCAAAACATTTAATACAAGATGGTTTTTCACCATGGAAATAGTTACAAATTTCAAGTGATTTACTTTTTTAATTGACACTGGTTTTTTTTCTAAAATAATGTCAGTTTTGTCTAGCAAAATTCTCTTGTGTGGATCACACAGCTTTTTTGATACAGATTTCAGCAGGAGGTAATATATATATATATATATATATTTTATTATTATTATTTTAAAGTCAATACTATTGTAACGGTCACCAGCTGAAGTGCCCTTGAGAGCCACCAGAGGGCACTCCACATCAGACTATTGTCATTCCCTCACAAACTACATCTCCCATAACTCACTGCCCAGACTCTTCATCCATTATCACATTCACCTGTGTCTCATTATCTTGTTTAGCTCACCTCATATAAGCCTGGTTTTCTCATTCATTATCTGCGCAGTCTTGTTTAGTGTCTCACTGCAATTCCAAGCATTCTCCCTGGTTTCATGTATCTTGGTTTTTGGATTTCTTGCCTATCCTGTGGATTACTCTTTTGCCTGTGTTCCCTGCCTTGTTGTGTTTGTTTCTATGGACTGCCTGCCTGTGTTTGACCTTGCCTGTACTTTGGATTACGTTTTTTGGATTAACCTGGTCAATAAATACTGCATTTGGATCCTCAACCTTCGTGTCTCGGAGCAGTTCGTGACAGAAAACTTCGCCACTATGGATCCAGCAGTACGTCTCGTCCGCCTTTGTCAAGGAGCTCACTCGAGGACCACATTCAGGACTTCCTAGGTATTGCCAATTTCACTAACCTCCCAGACAATGCTCTCATTGACTTATTTTGTTATGGACTCAACAACCCATTAAAATCCACTTTAATCTGTGATGGTCCTTGATGATCACTGAGCGAGTTCCTAGATTATGCCCTTCATTTGACTGGTTCCTCCTTCACTGTCTGGGAGTTTGAGGAGGACGTTTCCCTTAGACATTTTTTGGGAGGGGGCAGTATGCACCAAGCTCCGGTGACCAAGTTCACCACCATGTCCAGTTAAGATGCATGCCGAGCCTGAGCATCTTCACGTCAGTCCTGCCGAGCCTGAGCTTCTACACGTCGAGGCCGCCGTGCCGGAGTCCGTTCCGGATGATACAGCGCTGATCGTCATGGCCACGGCTATTTTGTGTGTGTGGGCAGCACACAAATCAACTCCATCCCGTGGCCCCTCAGCCAAGATGGCCGCCGCCCTTCCAGAGTCTCGTCCCGTCATGGCCGCCCTTCCAGAGTCTCGTCCCGTCATGGCCGCCCTTCCAGAGTCTCGTCCCGTCATGGCCGCCCTTCCAGAGTCTCGTCCCGTCATGGCCGCCCTTCCAGAGTCTCGTCCCGTCATGGCCGCCCTTCCAGAGTCTCGTCCCGTCATGGCCGCCCTTCCAAAACTTTTGCGATATTTTCTAAATGTCGATAAACTATTGCGAAATGACGGCGTTTCAATTAACTGATGTTATGCGACTGAAGCGTAATTTTTATTAATTTTTTTCCTCACGCGAGAAGTCATTCCAATAATTATGGCAACTGATGTTGATATGAGTTTAAATATATCACAGCCACCGTGATTCCAGTAGATTATTGTCCTTTACAAACCAACCCTCAACAAACTGCTTGTCTGGGCTTCTAATAAAGAATTATGTATCGCTTCCGCATCGCCACGTGAACCGGAATCATCCCGACAATGTTTTATCTATACAGAGGTAAAGGCAGTGTTGGGCAAGCTAGGGAAATGTAGTGAAGCTACACTGAAGCTACCACCCCGGGAAATGTAGCAAGCTAAGCTACAGCAATATGGAAAAAGTAGTTTACTACATCTGAGCTAATAAATTTCATTTTTATATTGAACCAACTTCATTCCAAGTCAATGCTATCTCCGTGATCAATAAAACTGCCAGTCAAACAGATAGGCAGGCATAATTTGTCAGCTCAACTGTTCCAAACCAATTTGGCAACAAAAAAACAAAACCATAACTATATAAAACCATAACAAAACCAGGTATTGAGAGTGTGAGCATCTTTCTATCAAGTACTGTAAATTTCTCACGTGTCAGCCCAAGATTGAGATTGGTACGTGATGTCACCGTCTGGAGCAGATGGTGGTGGTAATGCACCAAAAAGCTGGTTGTAGGGCCCTATGAAATAAGGTTATTTTTTTTCCCATTCCAAATTCAGTTTTTTTCCATTGTATCTTTTTTGGACTCCCATTTTAATGGTTAAATTAAATGTTAGTAATCAAAAAGCATGTATAATTAATAGAAATCATGAAACTTAAACAATTTAACAATTTATTAAACATTTTAAAATAAATAAAAAATTTAGGGCACTACTTTTTCTTTTCTTTTTTTTCCACTAAATTGTTTTTTTTTTTTTTTTTTTTTTTTTTAATGGTTGAATAAAATTGTAATAACCAATGATTTAAAATGGAATGATTCAAGCAAAACTTTCTTCAAAGGTTAAACCAACCTTTTATTTTGACGGGTGCCGTGAAGACATTTCTCTGTGTTTTTATGATATAAGTTTTTCTCAAATCAAGCTAAAATGCTGTTGAAATGACTCTCAGAGCGGCTGTGTAGATGAAGTTCATGCATTGATGTCCTCATAAACTGAAAACATTGCGAGCGTTATGAGTGCGTCAGTGTGTGCTAAATGAAACCGTGCATCCGCGCCATTCATTCACAGACACAAGCAGAACATGCATGATTCCTATTTAAATAGTCTTTATGCGGTTTAATATTCACAGACACTAGTCTATATCGTGATTTTATTTTAGTTTACTGACCTACTTTTCATCCAAGATCTGACAAATTACGCATGTAATGTATGAAATGTAGCTTGTGTGGACGCTACCGCACTACTTGATCAAAAAAAGAGCTTCGCTACTGAAAAGCTATTTGATTCAGAAAACAGCGACGCTACCACCACTACTGAGAAATGTAGTTAAACTAGTAACGTCACTACTTGTAGCGACGCTACGATGCTGCCCAACACTGGGTAAAGGGAAGAATGCCTTCACATGAGAGTTAACACAGGACTGTGTTGTCGTCGTGTCCAGGCGCAGGTCCTTCATCAGATCTGGATACGGCGGACTGCGGTAAACCTCGGTATAAACAGAGAGACTCATATTAGCGTAGACGCCATCAACGTGCAAGTACATCAGGATTTAAGTATTGATTGAATTATCAAGGTCTATAATGTATTATGTGTATGCTAGGTCAAAGAGATGTGTTTTTAGTCTAGATTTAAACTGACAGAGTGTGT